ACGGCAACGCCGGCGCCCGAGCTCGAGAGGCCCAGGGGGCCCAGGGTACCGCAGCCAGAGCGGCCCCTGGAGGCGGGAAGGGCGGAGGAGCAGCAGAAACCCTCCAGCAGGCCCCTGTGCGGGGAGGGGACAGGCCACCATGGACCCTTGCGCGGCGAGGGGGTAGGCCGCAGAGGACCCCAGCGTGGCGAGGGGTTAGGCCACAGCCCTGCGCCAGACGGGATGTAGAGGGGTGCCCGTCCCCCACCAGCAGGACGGAGCACCATGGGCATGGCAGACCTCGACCACTTCCTTGAAGAGGAGAACAGCGAGGATTGCCTCCAGCAGCCCGTAGACAAGGAGGACAGCGATGACAACCACCAGCAGATCCCATATGTACAGCACAGCATAGGGTACCACCTGGCAGACCGCAGAGGACCCCAGCGTGGCGAGGGGTTAGGCCACGGAGGACCCCAGCGCGGTGAGGGGTTAGACCGCAGTGCCAAAGGCAAGCAGAGGCTCGAGGCGGAGGTCCCTGACGAGCCCAGTGAGCATGACGCGGACCTTTTGACCAACAGTGTGGTAGACAGGACCTCGCAACTAACAGAGCGGACCCATACCCTGGGAAACCGACAGACTGAACGCGAGGGGGGGGGCTTGGCCCGCGGAAACCACGTGAACCGCGAACACAGCGAGTGGCATAGTCGGGGGACCTCGCCCGAGCCAGTGGGCAGTAGCACCGAGGATGGGGACAGTGCGAGACTCGGCGTTCCCCCGCGCGGCGAGGGGTTAGGCCACAAAGCTGCGCAGCCCGAGACGACGGCAGACTACGACGACACAGACCTGCAGCGGGACTTGGAGAAGTTGTTCGGCGACTTTCCCCAGCGCGGTGAGGGGTTAGACCGCATGGAACCCCTGCGTGGCGAGGGGTTAGGCCACGGCAATCCCCTGCGCGGTGAGGGGGTAGACCGCAGTGCCAGAGGCAAGCAGAGGCTCGAGGCGGAGGTCCCTGACGACCCCAGTGAGCATGACGCGGACCTTTTGACCAACAGTGTGGTAGACAGGACCTCGCAACTAACAGAGCGGACCCATACCCTGGGAAACCGGCAGACTGAACGCGAGGGGGAGGGCTTGGCCCGCGGATACCACGTGAACCGCGACCACAGCGAGTGGCATAGTCGGGGGACCTCGCCCGAGCCAGTGGGCAGTAGCACCGAGGACGGGGACAGCGCGAGACTCGGCGTACCCCCGCGCGGCGAGGGGTTAGACCGCAGCAGGCCCCAGCGTGGCGAGGGGTTAGGCCACGGAGTACCCCAGCGCGGTGAGGGGTTAGACCGCAACGATCCCCAGCGCGGCGAGGGGTTAGGCCACGGCGGACCCCATAGTGGTGAGGGGTTAGACCGCAGCAGGCCCCTGCGTGGCGAGGGGTTAGGCCACATGGGACCCCAGCGCGGTGAGGGGTTAGACCGCAATAGGCCCCTGCGCGGCGAGGGGTTAGGCCACGGAGCACCCCAGCGCGGTGAGGGGCTAGACCGCAGCAGCCCCCAGCGTGGCGAGGGGTTAGGCCACGATTTTCCCCAGCGCGGTGAGGGGTTAGACCGCGCCGACCCCCAGTGTGGCGAGGGGTCAGGCCACGACGGACCCCAGCGCGGTGAGGGGTTAGACCGCAACAGACCCCTGCGCGGCGAGGGGTTAGGCCACCACGGATCACCCCAGCGCGGTGAGGGGCAAGACCGCAGCAGGCCCCAGCGCGGCGAGGGGTGAGGCCACCGAGGACCCCTGCGCGGCGAGGGGCTAGGCCGCAATGCACCCCAGCGTGGCGAGGGGTTAGGCCACAGCCCTGCGCCAGGCAAGGCGGCCGCGAAGGCCCACGAGTCCAGGGGCCAGCGGCCAGGGCGGTCCTTGGAAGAGCGCAGAGCGGAGGAGCGGCTGCGGCCGTCCATCAGGCTGCTCCTCAAGCTCTGAGAGGGCGGCGGCAGCATATCTTCAGACTGCCGCCGCTCACGGGGCGACTCCATGAGTCATTGAGTGGCGGCAGTACGACGCCGTGAGATGAGGCCGCTGGCCCACCCCGCCTCGGGCAGTTCTGCCTGCGCGGGGTGCCGAGACCAGGGGCGCCCACTCACGGGCGGGAGCACGCGGGTTTAAAAACTCCTCCTCCTCCTCCTCCTCGACGTGGTCCTCGGCCCCTCCCGCGTGGAACTCGACTTGGTCGGCGCCGCCGACGCCCGCGCCCCGTCGCGCCGCGGGGCGCCTGCTGCGGGCGTGTTTTCTTTGATTCGCGGGCTGCGGGGGCCGGGGCCGCTGCCGCGGGGCCACTGCCGAGTCTGAGGTTGGCCCCCGATCGTTCAGCCTGTACTTGGCATCTCTCGGACGCGTGCATGTTTCCCTTGTCGAGGACCATCGAGGAGCATCCTTGATCATGTGGCGAAGAAACCACGCACGAAACCGAACATTACCCTGCGACGTACCCAACCCGCGTGCATCAAATGGCAAGAGGAGTATGCCAACATTAGCAGGAACAACGACAGTGTAGACGCGGCGATTTGCTGTGCAAGCTACATGGGATGCGCATGCGCCGCACGATTCACAGGACGACGATCGAAAGAACGAGGATTGAGGCCCCAGGATCGAAGAAGAACGGGTACGGGAACGAGGGGTTAGGAGAGGGATGGAATGGAGGGCGGGGGGGGCGAAAGGCCATCGCGGAAGCAGCAGCATGCATGGAGAAGGTGAGGCGGGGAATAGGACGACGATGAAAGTGGCGGGAGGAGACAGAAGACTGCCGCGTTTTTCAAGTGCGAGCTAAACCCGCAGCGCTGCCTGCGCCATGTCGTCGCAGAGTTCCACATGATAAAACTTGTTTAGAGTGCAAGGAACGAGCGAGGCGTAGCTCGCCCGCTAGCTTCTCCGCCTCCTTCCCGCACATTTCAGCGCGGGAGCTGAACGCTCGCAGGCGCGCCGCCAGGTCTGCGGGCGGCCCGCGGGAAAGAAACTCAAGGCCGGGGTCGCGTATCATCAATCGGTTGTCCATCGTCCAAAGTTGCACTGGCGACGTACTGGTTGAACGCGGAGCGAGCAGCATCACGCGCGTGCCTGAACGCCGCGCAGGTACAGTGCACGCGCGATTGGGACTTCAGGTCGATCACGCGCGTCTCCACCAGGCGACTTCAGGTCGATCGCGCGACAGTTTCACAGATCGCAGCCCCCCAGGGATGGCGAGGTCTAATCTGTATCCCCGTAGGGCGTCACTCCGCTGGGCCCCCCACGCAGCCTTCGAAAGTGGCGACAGTTTCACAGATCGCAGCCCCCCAGGGATGGCGAGGTCTAATCTGAATCCTCGTAGGGCGTCACTCCGCTGGGCCCCCCAGACAGCCCTCTGATCCCCGTAACTCCGCTGGCAGCACCTCGAAAGTGGCGACAGTTTCACAGATCGCAGCCCCCCAGGGATGGCGAGGTCTAATCGTAGTCTCCGCTGGGCCCCCCAGCAGCCTCGAAAGTGGCGACAGTTTCACAGATCGCAGCCCCCCAGGGATGGCGAGGTCTAATCTGAATCCCCGTAGGGCGTCACTCCGCTGGGCCCCCCAGCAGCCCTCGAAAGTGGCGACAGTTTCACAGATCGCAGCCCCCATGGCCTAATCTGAAGGGCGTCACTCCGCTGGCCCCCCAGCAGCCTCGAAAGTGGTTTCACAGATCGCAGCCCCCCAGGGATGGCGAGGTCTAATCTGAATCCCCGTAGGGCGTCACTCCGCTGGGCCCCCCAGCAGGCCTCGAAAGTGGCGACAGTTTCACAGATCGCAGCCCCCCAGGGATGGCGAGGTCTAATCTGAGTCCCCGTAGGGCGTCACTCCGCTGGCCACCCCAGCAGCCCTCGAAAGTGGCGACAGTTTCGCAGATCGCAGCCCCCCAGAGATGGCGAGGTCTAATCGAAGTCCCCGTGGGGCGTCACTCCGCTGGCCACCCCATCAGCCTTCGAAAGTGGCGACAGTTTCACAGATCGCAGCCCCCCAGGGATGGCGAGGTCTAATCTGAGTCCCCGTAGGGCGTCACTCCGCTGGCCACCCCAGCAGCCCTCGAAAATGGCGACAGTTTCACAGATCGCAGCCCCCGAGGAATGGCGAGGTCTAATCTGAGTCCCCGTGGGGCGTCACTCCGCTGGCCACCCCAGCAACCCTCGAAAGCGGCGACAGTTTCGCAGATCGCCAGGGATGGCGAGGTCGAATCTGAGTCCCCGTAGGGCGTCACTCCGCTGGCCACCCCAGCAGTCCTCGAAAGTGGCAACAGTTTCACAGATCGCAGCCCCCCAGGGATGGCGAGGTCTAATCTGAGTCCCCGTAGGGCGTCACTCCGCTGGCCACCCCAGCAGCCCTCGAAAGTGACGACAGTTCGCAGATCGCAGCCCCCCAGGGATGGCGAGGTCTAATCTGAGTCCCCGTGGGGCGTCACTCCGCTGGCCCCCCAGCAGCCCTCGAAAGTGGCGACAGTTTCACAGATCGCAGCCACCCAGGGATGGCGACCGCAGGCGGGAGGAGGCGGGAAGGAAGGAAGGAAGGAAGGAAGGAAGGAAGGAAGGACGGTGGAGACCGCAGTGCTCTATTCAAAACGAGTACCCAACGCAGGAGGGTTCGGAAAAACACAGGGGATGGACGTCCGAGCGATGGCAGGTGTAGGGTTCGGCGCCGAAATGCAGCAAAATCGCGCTGCGACGCTCGCCCCCGCCAACCTCCGCAGTCCCCCCCTCCAGCGAGCCATGCCGCTCCCCCTGTGCCGCCGCCCCTTCCCACCCCGCCCCTCCCTCCCCGCCCTCCCCCTCCCCTCCCTCTCCCCTCCCCTCCTCCTCCTCCTCCTCCTCCTCCTCCTCCTCCTCCTCCTCCTCCTCCTCCTCCTCCTCCTCCTCCTCCTCCTCCCCCCCCCCCTTCTCCTCGCCTTCGCCCACCCCCTCCCTCCCTCCCCTGCCCTCCCCCCTGCGCCCCTCGCCCGCTGCTCCGTGCCGAGGCGTTCTCCGCGGCACGCGGCGATTCCAAGGCGCCGTTGGCTCAGAGCGCCCGAGGTTCTGGCTGGCCCGGGGGGGCAGTCCGCGAGCATGTTCCGGCTCCTCGGCGACTCGCCGCCACCAGACGAGCCTGTGGACGAAGAGCTCGGAGATGATGCCGTTGCCCAGGGATGGTGGGCCCGCTTTCCACCACCACCCTGAGTTGGAGGGGGGAAGCAGGTGGATGACGACGATGATGATGATGATGATGATGATGATGATGATGATGATGATGATGATGATGATGATGATGATGATGATGATGATGATGATGATGATGATGATGATGATGATGATGATGAACATGATGATGATGATGATGATGATGATGATGATGATGATGATGATGATGATGATGATGATGATGATGATGATGATGATGATGATAATGATAATGATGATGATGAGGAGGAGGAGGACGACGAGGAGAAGGAGGAAGACTAGTGCAAACCCAAGGGTCATCAACGATGTTGGAGTACACCCTCCTTCCAAGCTCCCTCTTCATAGGCCCCTGCAGCGGCTCATGTCCATTGAGGGAACTGCCTCGATGGAAGACACCCGTGTGAAGACCTTGCAGCATGCGGAAACATTGTTCTCGGGATTTCAACTCCACGGATCAACCTGACTGTTGCGTTCTGGCGATCGTGAATTGTGCCAGAACGCCATACCTGGGACTTCAACACAGAGGATCAAAGTACATGTGGCGCCCGCATGATCTTTAATCTTCCCACAACATCACTTCTGGTACGTTGATCATGGGAATCCGTGAACCTGTGACAATTTGTTTAAAGCATGGTTGCGGCGCTAAGGCGAGAGCCACAGTTTGAAAACCTCTCGCCCTCAATCCGCGAAGCTCTTACAACTGGGTAAAACGAATGTGCGCCGCGCTAAGGCGAGAGCCACAGTTTGAAAACCACCCGCCCTCTATATGTAAAATTCTTGAAATGCTTAAACGAATGTACGCGGCGCTAAGGCGAGAGCCACATTTTGAAAGCCACACGCCGTAAGTCAGTGGAACTTCTGCAATCTCTTAAAACGAATGCGCGCGGCGCTAAGGGGAGAGCCACATTTTGAAAACGAACCGCCCTCAATATTAGAAACTCTTGAAATTTTCAAATCGGATGTGACTGTGCGCGGCGCTAAGGCGAGAGCCACCTTTTGAAAACTACCCGCCCTCAACCCGTGAAACTGTTGCAAATTCGCAGCTTCAGAATGATGCGTGGTGAGGAAGTCTCTGGCGACACGCGCGGCCCAAACAAAAGTGCTCCGGGGGGCAGGCTGGGCGAAGTCGTTTATACAGAAAACGAGTGTAGGAGGAGGGGGAGTACCCCCTCCCCCTCCTCCTCCTCCTCCTCCTCCTGCTGCTGATGGTGGTGGTGGAACACGAGCCCAGCAGAGGAGACGCGGACCCGGAGGGGGCGACGCCTGCCGGCTCCGCTCCCCCGCGCCGCCGCTGCCAGGCAGCACCGAAGGGCATGGCCTGCGCAGCGGCTGCCCTGTGCACGGCGCTGGTCACGGTCGCGCTCGTGCGCCCGCCCGCCTCTCCGGTGGTCTCCTCCTCCTCCTCCTCCTCCTCCTCCTCCTTTTCCTTTTCCTCCTCCTCCTCCTCCTCCTCCTCCTCCTCCTCCTCCTCCTCCTCCTCCTCCCGAAGGGAGCCGCGCCAGGCGCCAGGGCCACTTCGTTGTCGACGGGCGTGGGGGATTCCGCCGTGTCTCACAACACGGGGTGCAACAATTGGAAGCAGTCTTGGCCTCTGTCATATCATGGGCATGCAGACTACTGCGTGGATGCGTGCCGCGCGGCTCTGGGATGCGTCGGGGTGAACTACCAGCCCGCATCATGCCCCGACTTGCCGGAGGAGATGCGAGCAGCACCAGGGGCTTGCTACCTCATGACAGAAATTTGCGACGAGGGGCCAAACGAGTGTTGGCAGGTTTACACGCTGCCCGAGGACGAGAGGAAAACCCTCAGCTCCATTACGAGTGGTTCTGGCTCCGGTACCAGCTCCGGGACCAGCTCAGGGACCAGCTCCGGCACCAGCTCAGGTACCAGCTCCGGTTCCAGCTCCGGTACGACCTCAGGGACTGATGGCACTGATACTGCTTCTGCTTCTCAAGCTGTCTTTGATTCTGTCTCGGGCGAAATAAGTTCTGAGACTGTCTCAATTTCTGATTCTGGTGCGACGAGTTCTGATGGGACCAGCTCTGGGACCAGCTCCGGGACCAGCTCCGGGACCAGCTCGGGTACCAGCTCCGGTACCAGCTCTGGTACCAGCTCCGGTACCAGCTCCGGCACCAGCTCAGGTACCAGCTCTGGGTCCGATGGCACGGATTCCGGGTCTGGCGCGACGGGTTCTCAGGACACCAGCTCTGGGACCAGCTCGGGGACCAGCTCCGGCACCAGCACTGGTAGCAGCTCTGACAGCAGCTCTGGTACCAGCTCTGGGTCCGATGGCGCCGATTCTGCGTCTGGTGCAACGGGCTCTCAAGATGTCTTTGATTCTGCTTCAGGCGACATAAGTGTTCAAGATGCCGCTAATTCTGATTCCGGTGCGACGAGTTCTCAAGATACCAGCTCCGGGACCAGCTCAGGGACCAGCTCCGGCACCAGCTCAGGTACCAGCTCTGGCAGCAGCTCTGACAGCAGCTCAGGTACCAGCTCTGGGTCCGATGACCCTAATTCTGATTCCAGCGCGACGAGTTCTCAAGATACCAGCTCCGGGACCAGCTCAGGGACCAGCTCCGGCACCAGCTCAGGTACCAGCTCTGGTAGCAGCTCTGACAGCAGCTCAGGTACCAGCTCTGGGTCCGATGGCGCCGATTCTGCGTCTGGCGCAACGGGCTCTCAAGATGTCTTTGATTCTGCTTCAGGCGACATAAGTTCTCAAGATGGCGCTATTTCTGATTCTGGTGCGACGAGTTCTCAAGATACCAGCTCCGGGACCAGCTCAGGGACCAGCTCCGGCACCAGCTCAGGTACCAGCTCTGGTAGCAGCTCTGACAGCAGCTCAGGTACCAGCTCTGGGTCCGATGGCGCCGATTCTGCGTCTGGCGCAACGGGCTCTCAAGATGTCTTTGATTCTGCTTCAGGCGACATAAGTTCTCAAGATGGCGCTATTCTGATTCCGGTGCAACGAGTTCTCAAGATACCAGCTCCGGGACCAGCTCAGGGACCAGCTCCGGCACCAGCTCAGGTACCAGCTCTGGTAGCAGCTCTGACACCAGCTCAGGTACCAGCTCTGGGTCCGATGGCACAGATTCTGCCGCTGGCGCGACAAGTTCTCAAGACGGCGCTGATCCTGCTGCTGGTTCTCAAGATGGGGCTGGTGCTGATTCTGGATCTCAAGATGGCTCAGATTCTGCTTCTGGCGCGACGAGCTCTCAAGATGGCGCAGATCCTGCTGCTGGTTCTCAAGATGGGGCTGATGCTGATGCTGGTGCTCAAGATGGCTCAGTTTCTGTTTCTGGCGCGACGGGTTCTCAAGATGGCGCAGACTCTGCTGCTGAGGTCTTTATTGAAGCTGCTGCCCAAATAGCTGGCGCTGATTCTGATTCCGGTTCGTCAAGTTCTCAAGATACCAGCTCCGGGACAAGCTCTGGGACCAGCTCAGGTACAAGCTCTGGGTCCGATGGCGCAGATTCTGCGTCTGGCGCGACGGGATCTCAAGATGGCGCAGATTCTGCTTCTGGCGCGACGAGTTCTCAAGATGGCGCTGATCCTGCTTCTGGGTCTCAAGATGGGGCTGGTGCTGATTCTGGATCTCAAGATGGCTCAGATTCTGCCTCTGGCACGACGGGACCTCAAGATGGCTCTGGCGCGACGGGTTCTCAAGATGGCGCTGATCCTGCTTCTGGCTCTCAAGATGGTGCTGATGCTGATTCTGGTGCTCAAGATGGCTCAGATTCTGCTTCTGGCGCGACGGGTTCCCAAGATGGCGCTGATCCTGCTTCTGGTTCTCAAGATGGTGCTGATGCTGATTCTGGTGCTCAAGATGGCTCAGATTCTGCTTCTGGCACGACGGGACCTCAAGATGGGGCTGATCCTGCTTCTGGTTCTCAAGATGGGGCTGGTGCTGATTCTGGTTCTCAAGATGGGGCTGATGCTGATTCTGGTGCTCAAGATGGCTCAGGTTCTGCTTCTGGCACGACGGGACCTCAAGATGGGGCTGATCCTGCTTCTGGTTCTCAAGATGGGGCTGGTGCTGATTCTGGTTCTCAAGATGGGGCTGATGCTGATTCTGGTGCTCAAGATGGCTCAGGTTCTGGTTCTGGCACGACGGGACCTCAAGATGGTTCCGTTGTTGCTTCTGCTCCTGATGCTGATGGATTCCGCTTCGCGGGGGACACGGCCAGACGAGTGTTCCCGCCGTTGCTGGTCCGTCTCGGGAGCCTGGGGCTGCATTTGGGCCGCCCGGGAGCCCTGTTTGGCCATCCTGGAGCCCGGTTGGGCTGTCTTGGGCCCGTCTATGCCGTCTTGGGGGTATCTTGGGGCACCATAAGGGGTTCCCAGGGGCCGTCTTGCAGCCCTCGCTGGCCGCCTGGGGCCTCTTTGGAGGCTTTCGTTCTGGGGCCCTCTTGGGCCGTCTTGCCCCCGCCGTAGCGGCCTCTTGGGGCTCTTTCGGGCCGTTTTAGAAAGATCTTGAGGGCCTCATTCATCGCATTGGACGATCGAAGGGTCGAACAGGCGAGTACATACAAACAACAACTTCAGGGACATTACAGTGTTTAGCAGCTTCGGGATTCCGTAATCCCATTGAGGTTCCTTTTGGGACCTCCTGGTCCGTCTTGGCATCCAATCGGACCGTTTGCGATCCGTCTTGTTGCATCCATGGACCGGTGCCGGAAGGAGGAGGAGGAGGCGGATGAGGAGGAGGAGGAGGCGAGACCGCGAACATCCGCCCCAAACCGAATACACCTAAATGTTGCTGTCTTTTGGATGCCTTCTCGGAAGTCGGCTCGGGGCCTCTTTGGGTGGCATCTTGGGGCCTCTTGGGTGTGTCTTGGGTCGTCTTAGGGCGCTTATGGACCATCTGGTGCCGTGGAAGGACGTCTTGGGGCCTCGCAGGGCCATCTTGGGCCCTCGTGGGGTCCTCAACGGCTGTTTTTGCGGTCTTTTGGGCTGTCTTTGGTTTTTACGATGGATCTGCTGGGCCGTCTTGGAAACCTCTGAGGCCGTCCTGCGCTGCCAGTAGTACGCCCCCCCGGGCCCTCGAAGAAAAGGCACGAGTCACCCAACGACTTCAGGAATGTAAGTATGTTTTGCCTCTTGGAGCCCTTCTTGGGGGCCCTCTTGGGCTGTCTTGGTGGCCTCTTGGGCCGTCTTGAGGCCTTCTTGGGTCGTCCGGCGGTCACCTTCGGCCATCTTGGGGCCACTGTGGGCCGTCTTGAGGCCCGCTAGCGCCACCTGGAGCCCCCCTTGGACCATCAAAAGACTTCAGATGCCAGTCGCTCTGATTTTCCATAGGTTTTGGTCGGCTGTTGGAGCCCACGCATGGCGTTCGCCAGAAAGTCTGTCGATGTGGCGTGACTCCGGGGGTGGGTTACAGGGCGTCAGTAATAATAATCATCATCATCATAATGTTAATGATGGTATGGATAATAATAGTAATAATGCTGATACTGCTTTGAAGCATATTAACAATAATACGCATCGCTCATTGTTAACCCTGCGGGGATTATTTGATTTTTTGGGAGGTCAACATCCTTTCATTTCTAATTGTTCTATCCTGGGCCTCTTCCTGGGCACTAAGGGGCCAGGAACACTTAGAAACGAGCACAATCAGAAATGAGCAGGCGCCCACGAGACGGCGCGGGGCTGCAGCGCGGAAGCAAGCCCCCAGCGTAGCTGTCCAGCCACTTCGTGTCAGCGGGCGCGCGTGCCCCCCAAAAGGAAGTTGTCGCATTGCAGAGGTCGGCGGCGAGCGTGGGGGGGGAAATGAGAAGGAGAAGGTCTTCTCAGATGGCGGCGGGACTTCTCAGAAGCCCTCGCGCCTTCTGAGAAGTTTTTTCTGTCTTCGGGGAAGGCTTAGAAAACTTCTCAGAAGGCCGGGGTACTTCCGAGCCTTCTGAAAAGGCCCGCCCCTTCTCATTTCCCCCCCGGGCGCGCCGCCAAACAAAGGGAGTTGTTGCATTGCAGAGGTGGGAGCTGTGCGGCGAAAGCTCCGTGGTGCACACTCACAACTCATGGTAAGGTGCACGGGTGTCCTCGGGATGCCTGTGCGCGCTTGCCTCTGCGGCCCGCCCGTCGCGTTTTTCACTGGCCAGCCCTTCAGGGTGTTGGCAATCCGCGGCCCAAAAAGTGCCAACTTCGGTGTTCAAGGCCCTTGCGTCCTTGCCGCCCGTCCTTATCATAGAGATCAACTGTAAGCTGTGACGTGTAAGCTACGTGGTATGAGCTATGGCTAGAGGCGACAGCCATGCGCCGTAGGGTAGGTGGTGCAGGCTCTGTCGTGTAGTCTATGCGGTGCAAGCTGGAAGGGGAAGCCATGTTGTGTAAGCTGTGCGGTGCCAGCTACGTCGTGCAAGCTATGTGGTGTAAGCTGTGTCGTGTGAGCTATTGTGTGTAAGCTATGTCGTGCAATCTGTGTGGCGTAAGCTCTGTGGTGTAAGCTCAGCGCACGGGACGCCCAGTCACGTGAACGAGGCACCCGTATGAAACCCGAGAAGGCGAGAGCGCTAACATTGTTCAAAGCCAGAGATCCATGCTCGGTTTCTGCTTCGCGAGGGGGTCTTTGACACGTTGGCGCCTGCGACGCAGACGCAGGCGCTGCGTGGGCGCCCTACGCCGGTCCGGGTGGGTGGACGTGATGCTACAGAACGGTGCAAGCCGAGGTGATGGCTCCTCCTCCTCCTCCTCCTCCTCTTCCTCCTCCTCCTCCTCCTCTTCCTCCTCCTCCTCCTCCTCCTCCTCTTCCTCCTCCTCCTCCTCCACCTCCTCCTCCTCCTCCTCCTCCTCCTCCTCCTCCGCTTCCTCCCCCCCCGCCTCCTCCTCGTCCTGCCCTCCTCCTCCTCCTCCTCCTCCTCCTCCTCCTCCTCCTCCTCCTCCTCCTCCTCCTCAAGCGGCGTGTTTCTAGAACTCTATCTAGTGCAGCCTATGTGGTGCGATCTATGCGGTGCAATCGGCGAGGTGCCGCGCAGGTTGTGCAATCCACGCGGTGCAATGCATGCGGTTTGCCAGCCGGCCGCTCCGCGGTTGATCGGGAATTTCATAATCTAGAAGAAGGGGCGTGCGCTTGTGGGCGAGAGGGGGATGAGCGGGAGGCGGTGGCATCCAGCCCCTCCCGCTCCCATGCTGGCCCGCTCCGCGGGGCTCAGGCTCCCATCGTATTGCTAAGTCGTAGATAGTAACCTGCTACCTATGGGTGGATCTGTATATATGATGGGTGCGAATATATATATATATATATAAATATATATATATATGTATATATTTATATATACGTATATATTTATATATATATATATATGTATCTCTATACACCTGTATACATAGACTTCTATATATATATATATACACAAGACTGCAGTGTCGCTTCGCGCCATGCGCCTTGTTCCGGACGCTTCCCCGGCAAAACAACAAATCATCGCTTGCTTCAGAAGGGGGGACCTCGAGGCCTCGAGGGGCAACCGGCTGATTGTTCTGATATCCATGGTGCCTGCTGACACCGCGTTCGCCCGATGCGCTTGCACGCTTGTGCGCAGGAGCGGAGAAGGAAACATTATCCCTTCACGTGCGAAGGTCCTTCGAGGAAGTACGGAGCTTCCCCATGACACGCCGGAGAAGTCGTAGCATATCCGAACAAATGGATTGTCGGAGAACGCCGTCTGGGCGTTTTGGGGGCTTGTTTGGGCCGTCCTGGGACCCTGTTGGGCCGTCCTGGGGCCCTTTTGGGCCGTCTTGAGGAGCTGGGCCCTCCAGTGGTTTTCTGAAACCATCAAGGGCCCTCTGGGGGCCTCCAGTGGCCTTCGCGGGTGTCTCCCATGGTTTTCGTTGGACTTTCTTGGGAACCTTCTGGGGGCATCTTGGGTTTCTTGTGGGCGGTCTCGGGGCTCTTTGGGGCAGTCTTGGGGCCTTTTTTGGGCCGTCGTCAAACCCTTCGGAAACCCTTCGGGGGCCTCTTGGGCCGTATTGAGGCCATATCGGGGGCCCATCGGTCCGTTTTGGCCGCTGCGAAGACCCCCAAAGCGGATATGCGATGCTAAGCATATTCATTTTCCGAATGGAATGGGACGATGGTTGTTTCTTCGGGGCTCTCTTGACGGCCTCTTGGGGCGTCTTGGGGGCCTCGTGGGCCGTCTTCAGACCATCGAGGTTCCTCCTCTGGAGCGCTCCTGTGTTGTCTGGGTCTCTCTTGCGCCTCTCCGATGACCCTTCTGATCGCCTTGGGTCTGCTCGCGAGGCCCAGCAAGGCGCCGTGGGAGGTCGGAAGGGCAAGCGGACCATTTCCAAGGGCGTTCTGGTGGCCGCCCAGACATCCGCAATGGTGTCCAGGGCGTCCTTGGGGCGGGTCCAGTTTAAAGGGGGGGCCCAGGCAATAGAAACTTAGGAATATAGTAGGAATTCGGGTATCCAGATGGGTACACGCATGTGTATATATATATACACATTGATACACATAGTATACAGATGCGCGTGTACATACACATGTATACGTGTGCATAACACCTTTTGCAACACATATGCAATTGTGTGTATATATAGATGAATGAATGCACGGGGCATGTTGGATACGTTTCATTTTTGCTTGCGCGTGCGGAAAACGCTGCCGCTCAGCGCATCGCTTCTTGACAGGGGTCCTCTCGCTTCGCGGGGAGCGCGCGTCTGTAAAGCATGAAGTCTACGCTTTGCTGGTTTACGTTGCTCGTCCGCCGTGCTGGTATGCCGTTGTCGTTTTGTCGTGTTGGGCATTTTTGGGTGGTCTCTTGGGGTCTCCTGCAGGGGCGTCTTGAGGTTTCCTGGGGACCTTTTGACAGCGTCTTGGGGGTTTCTTGGGCCTCTGGGGGCCTCTGGGTGCTGGGCTCCCTTGCGGCGCTTTGGGGCCCTCTTGCAGAGCTCCTAGGCCGTCTTGGGGCCCTCTTGAGCCTTTTGGTGGCCGTCATGAGGCCATCTTGGAGGCGTCTGGGGCCGCCGTCACTGAGCGTTGCAAGCCTTAGAAGGACAGGACTTGAAAAGTGTTCAACAAAGCCAAAAGTCAACTCACGTTTTGAGCATGTTCAGGCCATGCAGGTGGCTTCTGGATCCGTATTGTGAGTTTCTGTGTGTGTGTGTGTCTGTGTGCGTACGTGTGTGTGTGTGTGTGTGCGTGTGCGTGTGCGTGTGCGTGTGCGTGTGCGTGTGCGTGTGCGTGTGCGTGTGCGTGTGCGTGTGCGTGTGCGTGTGCGTGTGCGTGTGCGTGTGCGTGTGCGTGTGCGTGTGCGTGTGCGTGTGCGTGTGCGTGTGCGTGTGCGTGTGCGTGTGCGTGTGCGTGTGCGTGTGTGTGTGTGTGTGTGTGTGTGTGTGTGTGCGTGTGTGGTGTGCGTGTGGGTGTGTGTGGTTGTGTGTGGTTGTGTGTGGTTGTGTGTGGTTGTGTGTGGTTGTGTGTGGTTGTGTGTGGTTGTGTGTGTGTGTGGTGTGTGTGTGTGTGGTTGTGTGTGGTTGTGTGTGGTGGTTGTGTGTGGTTGTGTGTGTGTGTGGTTGTGTGTGTGGTTGTGTGTGTGGTTGGTTGTGTGTGGTTGTGTGTGGTTGTGTGTGGTTGTGTGTGGTTGTGTGTGGTTGTGTGTGGTTGTGTGTGGTTGTGTGTGGTTGTGTGTGGTTGTGTGTGGTTGTGTGTGGTTGTGTGTGGTTGTGTGTGGTTGTGTGTGGTTGTGTGTGGTTGTGTGTGGTTGTGTGTGGTTGTGTGTGGTTGTGTGTGGTTGTGTGTGTGTGCGTGTGGAAGCCATCCGTCACTTCGGCTGGGCCGTTTCTGGCGTTTGCGAATATGCGTGATGTGCCCTGGAGCAATACGCGCGCGCGCCCAAGAGTTTATCTGGGTCAGGTGAGTCCGCCGGCGCCCGCTGGCACCATCGTCCCGAGCACCCCTGCCTCGGCCATCCGTGCTCTTGGGGGAGGGCTTCCTGGGAGGGGTAGCCACTTCACACGCCGAGGACCCAAACGGGTCGGCGAATTCTTTTGACGAGGGTGATCCTGCTGCTCCTATCTTGGGGGAGGCCGCAGAACTGGTCGATATTGCTGCGCAGAAACAAGGCACAAACTTGCGGGACTTGTTCATCTTGGAAGAGGAAGCCGAAATAGGTGCTACCGTCATCAGCGTATCTGATCCAGAGTGCTTCAGGGTCGGGGACACCATCGAGTTCTTCCACGAGGCGGACGATCACAACCACCAGCACACGATTGAATCACTCAATCCTATTACAGTGTTGCCAGCGATTACGCACAAGTACGAGGTCGGAACAGGGGTCATGAGGATCAACTACCCACACAGCCCGACACGATGTGGGGAGTGGCCAGAGTGAAGTTCTGACGCCCGCCCGCCGCAGGGAGCCCGAGCAACTCAGGCCGAAGCGACATCTGCTGCACGGCTTTCAACCCGACTTGCCATCCCGTCCCCCTCCGCGTCCTCATCTTCCTCTCGCCCTCCCCGCGCCCACACCCGTGGAATCATTTCATACGTCGACGCACAATTGTTGACGCGTCGCGTGTCCCCACCAGCCCATCCGGCAGCGATGTTCTGCGATTTGTGTCGGTCAGGGACAATCCGGTGGCTCCGAGCAGAGGGAATGAGCACAGTTCGAAGGGGCGCACATCCTCGCACACTGTCTTGCGGCGTGTCACAGTTCGCTTCCTGTCGGAAAGAAGGTATGTTGGCCAGCGTGGGCCCGCAACAGTGCGTTCTAGCACACCGTGTTGTGCATCCATGTGTTGCAATACATGCGTGTGGCGTAAGCTATGTGGAACAGTCTGCGTGATGCAATAGATGTGGTGTATGCTATGTGGTGCGCAGTCTAAGTGATGCGGTCTACGCGAGGCAAAATACGCAGCGCAAGCCTTGTGGTGTTAGCTATGGGGTGCAGTTGATGCGGGGCCGACGTCGTCATCCATGTGGCGTGAGCTACGTGGCTTCGTATCCGCGGACCGGCTCATGGGTGGTCGGCAGAGTGTTGCGGTCCTAGCTGATGTGGTATATGTGCAACCTGCGATAAACAGTATGTGTGGTGCAATCTGTGCGGGGTATTGCGAGCTAGCTAGTTTATTTGGTACAATCTACGTGGCGCACTCGACTGCAATCCGACAGGTGGAGGGTGCAGCGGGGCCGCGGCCACCGGCGACGGCAGGCGCGGCGACCGACGCGCCCGTGGCCCAGAAGCAGGGGGCGGCGGACGGCGGCGAAGGCGACCACAGGGCCAGCCCGACTGGTACCCAGGCCAAGATTTGTCGACCATTTGACAGCTCTTCTCGAGCGGTGGCGAAGCGTCCTGGTGTTCCTATAGGCCTACCAAGCGATGTTCCAAGAACCTTTTGTGGTTTCCACGGCATGTTCTTAGAATATGTCTGGCCAGGGCTGTCTTGTTTTACCTCACTTCGGGTTTATGTTCGAACAGTGTTTTTGTGCTTCGAACATTTTGGGGTTCTAAGAACATGTTGTGGTAGGCCTATAGGAATGCCGGGACGGTCGGTCCCTGCTCAATCTTAAGTGCAATCATTGTCTGGGGAATCGTGCTTCTTATTGTTTTTGCCTGCGCGGTTTCGCGTGGTCGACCCGTCCACCTCTGCGAACAAGCTGCTGTGGCAACTCGCCGAAGAACCGCCCACCCCCACCAGCCGTCCTGCATCTGAGATACCTACGGGCACTACAAGAATGACCCCATACGGTGGGGGCCCATGACAAGAAGCACCCTGCGTTTCGTCAAGGCTCCCTGGGTTTCTTTGGCTGGCTTCCCGGCGTGCAAAAAAAAACAGTCCTGGACCAAGGAACCTCGGCGGATTTCAGGGCTGGGCTTCTTGCGGCGGGTTTCTTGTGGATCGACCCCCACTGTGTCCAGGACATGGGAATTCGGCCATTTGCCATTGGTGTGCTCGGTCGGTGCTACCACCGCGCCGCGACAGAGCCGGCGTGCCCTGGCCTCCCTGACGGCCAAGACGAGGCACGACCAGGCAGGACAAGCCTGGACAAGACGAGACAAGGCACACCGACAAGACGAGAAACGGCAAGACCAGAGATTCTTCGATGCAGCCTGAGCTCCCCCCGTCACGCTCAGGGCCGACCGCAATGCCCCCTGTCTCCTCGTCGCCCTCTCCAGACAGCTGAGCCTTCTCGACTTATAGTATGCCCCTCGCGCCGCTACTTGCTGTATTGGAGGTCAGCTTGTGACGCGTGCCTGCTTTTTGCTGACTGTCTTCTTCCGGCTCACTGGCCAGGGCTGGACCTGAACGGTGTTTTTGGGCGATCTCGTGGGCCGTTTTTGTTTCGACTTCGTTTTTTGCGGTGAAGGCGGATTCGAGACAGAAGCGAGGGAAAACGAAGACAAAGCGAAAGCCGAAGAACACCGTTTAGGTTCAGCCCTGTGACTGGGTAGTCGTCGACCGCATGCAAGCAGCATGTCTCCGCAGTCTTGGAGGCCCGCCGCACAGGGTTCCTCCGTGTCCGTGCTCGCTGGGAGGAGGAGGAGGAGGAGGAGGAGGAGGAGGAGGAGGAGGAGGAGGAGGAGGAGGAGGAGGAGGAGGAGGAGGAGGAGGAGAGAGGGTCGGCGGCGGGCAGGGGGGAGAGATGCAAAGGAGACGGCCTCCTCTCAGGAGGGAAAGAAACACACAGACACAATTGATCGCCGATTCCTAGGAAAATATGGGAAAATATGGGAAGTGGGGGGGGGGAAAACAAAAAATTCAGAAAACATGGGAAAATATGCGGAATTGTTGTATTTGTGTGTATTTCTTTGTGTGTCCTGGGGCCCCTTCATCCTCAGAAGGCGGCGGGACTCTTCCGAGGCCCTCGCGCCGTCTGCGAAGTTTTTTTGTGTTCCGTCGCCGGGGAGGGCACGGAAGCCTTCCCAGAAGGCCAGGGGGCTCCCGTACCTTAAAACAGGGCTAGGATCGGGATAAATCGCTCCAGAGCGTTCCGGAGCGCTCTCAGAGCGTTCCGGAACGCTCTGGAGCGGCCGCGGCGCCTAATACATCCTCCAAACCCGCCGATTCTCAGAGATTTCGAGTTATCCCGATCCGATTTTGTCCCGATCTTCGCGTCGTTTTGTACCTCCTGCGAAGGCCTTCTCCTTCTCACTTCCCCCCCCCTCGCTCGCCGCCGAGAGGAGAGGAGGCGGGGCGAGGCAGTCGAACTTGGTCGAGCGACCCTCGACGCTGAGCTCTGTTACAGCAGCCGTTTTTTTTTCCAACGCCGTGCGTGTTGCTTTCGAAGTAGCTAGACTCCTGTCCTCATCCAAGCTCCACGGGGCCAACGCTGCCCTCCCTGCGGGCTGCTCTCTGCTGCTGAGCTGTGCCTTAGGGCAGGCTCTCTCGACATGTGAACTTGTAAACGATCTGTGCTAAAGAAATGGTGCCCCCAAGAGGCGCGAATCACTGATTTGTTGGTGGTCTTTGAGTGGCTTCGCCGCCAGACTCAATGATTCGGCCTCCATCCGCGGCTGCCCCAGAGCCGCACATGTCCGCGCCAACACGGCCCAAGAGAGCACCAAGAGGGCCTGACGATGACCCCAAGTCTGCTGCAAGACGGCCCCATACGACCCAATAGGGCCCCAAGAGTTTCCCAAGACTACTCCGATGCCCCTCAAGATGGCTCTACAGGCTCTACAGCTCCCCATAACCCATAAGCGCTCATATCCAAAATTGTGCGAACAAGTCTCACTGGGCCTTGGCATCAAGATGCACCCTGGCGTTCCCAAGGGGCCCCAAGAAGCCCTCAGGAAGCACCAATAAGCCCAAAAGAAGGACCCTCAGGCTTCCAGAGCGCAGCCATACGTGCACTGAGCCGGTGCCCACGATGACTTGCGCACGTATGTTTTCACACGTACGTGTGTGGTACGCTTGCAGTCCGCACCCAAAGGAGGACGTGTGGCGACGTGGGTTACCCTCCGCCTCCTCCTGTTCTCCGCGGACGCCCTGTCTGTCTAGCCCCCCCTGTCCTGCATGCCAGCCAATTCGCGCTTCGGTCGCCCCGATCGCTGGTCGCTGGTGCGGGTCTTCTGCCTCGCCGCCGACGAGAAAACTGCGACGTGGGTGTTCTCTGGCAAGGCGTGTGAACCCCTCCAGTCCGCCGCCAGCGATGGGAGCGGCGAGCCCGCGCCTCTAAGACGGCCCCAAGCGCCCCCGCGGCGGCCCAAGACATCCAGAAAGCACGAACCGAGACGAGGTGAGCCGATCCTCCTCCTCCTCCTCCCCCTCCCCCTCCTCCTCCTCCTCGTCCTCCTCCTCCGTCTCCTCCTCCTCCTCCTCCGCCCTCCTCCTCCTCTTTCTCCTCCTCCTTCTCCTCCTCCTCCTAGGCCTGGCAAGGCCTGGAGACGAGACGGGATAAGGCCTGGCAGTGCACGCCAAGGCAGCCCCGCATCCCCTAAATTGATGCCCAAGATGGCACCATGGCCACCCCGAGAAGATCCCCGAGATGCAGTTATCCTGGAAGGCCTGCGGAAAGGCGAGGAGGAGGAGGAGGAGGAGGAGGAGGAGGAGCAGAAAGAGGACCAGCGCAAGGCTAAGGCCCATCACCATCCTTGCCATACATCCTCTCTCTCTCTCTTTCTCCATGTTCCCTCTCCACAGGCCCCTACAAGGGTTAATCTTCACTGAGAGAAGTGCCCCGTTGGAAGGCAACCGTCTGAAAATTCTGAAATATACCATACCACGCTTCCAGAGACTTGAACGAAGCGAATCACCGTTACAGTTGCGTCTTGGCGATCCTGAGTCGTGCCAGAGCAACGTTCCTGGGACTTCAAGACCACGAATCAACGCATAGTTTTCGTCCTGGCAGTCCGGCCTCGTGCCAAAACAGCGTTTTTAGAACGAGAACCGTGAGAACCCTTGAAACTGTCAAACACTCTTGGAGAGAGTGTGCGCGGCGCTGAGGCGACAGCCACATTTTGAAACCACCCTCCGTCCGTGAAGCTGTTGCACATGTTTAATTGAGTGTGCGCGGCGCTATAACGAGTGCCACATTTTGAAAAACAGCCGCGCTCCATCCATGACGCTCTTGCAAATGGAAATGTGTAACACGAATGTGCGCGGCGCTCAAGCGAGAACCACATTTTGAAAACGAATTGAGCTCCATCCGTGAAGCTCCCGCAAGTTTCCCCCACATGCTAAGCGGAGTCCTCACTCACGCCCTCCTTTCATCATCGCTTGTCACACTCATCACGACCTTTCCGCAGCACCTCCCAGGCTCATCCAGATCACCATCCATCAGCATCACACCCATCATCACTCCACCGTCGTCATGATCACCATCACCATCCCGCAACACGGGGATCCACGTCACATTCATCAGCACATCAACCATCATTGACACATCCACTCCACTCCATTCCCTGGAACACAAACAATTTATCACAATCGCCATGATAAGTATCACCATCATCATCGCCACCAGGATCACACCATGACCATCGGTCATCATCATCGCCACGGCAGAGCCATCGCACACACTCAAGCACTCACCCACGCGTTCACGCATTTGCCAGCAGGAAGTCTCGAGCGCATGCCTCGTTTTTGGGTGAATTGGGAGGAAGTCTCAGGCGGTGCCGGCACTTCATGTTTGAGTCCGAGGCGGGCCATCGGACAATTTTACCAGGCATCGCACTTGAGCACCCTTCGGAGGCAAATTGTGGGTGAACGCCGAGGACACACTGAGGGGGAGCCCGCTCCCTATGGGGCCCGCTCCTTGTGTTCGAACCATGGAGGCGCATTCTGGATGAACAGCCAGGAAGTCTCGAGCGGGATCCACCTCCCTATCGGGCCCGCGCTTCATGCTCGGATCCGAAGCGGGCGCATAGCACCTGAGCGCCCTAAGGGGGGTATTTTTTGAGTGAGTCGAGAGGAAATCTCGAGCGGGAGCCGTCTCCCTATCGGGCCCACACTCCATGTTCGAACCCGAGGCGGGCCATCGGAACAGTCAACCAGGCATAGCACTTGAGCACCCCAAGGGAGAGATTCGTCAATCGATGAACAGCGGGGAGAACTCGAGCGGGAGCTCCCGCCCTGTGGGGCCCGCATTTCATGTTGGGAATTTGAGCGGGCTATCGGAACATTGTAACTGTCGTCATCGTTGGACTCATCAGGTCTGACTCTGGAGGAAGTCTCCGGCGGGAGCCTTATTTGTGAGTGAATTGCGAAGGAGTCTCAAGCGGGAGTCCGCTCCTCATGGGGCCCGCACTTCATATTGGTAATCCGAGCGGCTCATCAGAGCCGTTTAGTTGTTTTTTGGGGGGGTTCATCAGGCATGAGCCTAGATGAAGTCTGGAGCGGGAGTTTCTTGTATAGTGAGCCGCGGGGACGTCTCGAGCGGGCCCCTTTCCCTATGGGTTCTCTCCTCCACGTTCGAATCCGGGCGGGATCAACTGGAACGCTCAACAGTGGTTAGTTTTGGGCAGTTCAGGCCTGAGGTGTGTGGCTGTGTCAGGCCGGGACTTCGTCTGTGAATGACTTGTGGAGAGTTTCGGGCGGAAGGTTTCTGCACATGGGGAGCAAGCTTCGGCGAGCTCGCGCTCGCATGTGGACAAGGGCGCCCAAGTCTTGGGATTAGAATTGGGCCTGTCCCTCTGCAGGGAGAATATTCAAAAATTGTCAAACAATGGTCAGGGGACTATTTTGTAGCATTTTGGAGCATTTAGGGAACATGTTTCTGATATTTTGCATTTTTCCTGCAATATCCTCCTGTAGGGGGACACGCCCGACCTAAATCTACGCCCGAATCGGGCGCAGGGGGGAACCGTGACGTCGGCGCCGCCGGTTGCAACCGATCGGCGGCCGAATCGGGCGCAGGGGTGAACCTTTGGCACGTTTGGGGCAGAATCTCGTCGTCGTCGTCGTCGTCGTCGCCACTGCCGCCATCGAGATGGTCGTCCTCACTGCTTCGCTTCCCCTCGGCCAAAGCCCCGCGAGAACCCCGACAAGTCCGAACAGCACTTAGGAAGAGGAGGAGGACGAGGAGGAGGATGGGGAGGAGGCGGAGGAGGAGGAGGAGAATGAGGCGGAGGAGGAGGAAGTGGAGGAGGAAGAGAAGGGCAACGACCACCGAAATCCGATCAAATTCGGTGCTATGACCCTCCCCCAGGGTTTTTACCCGGCTGTGGCTGCGCCCGCCCATACATTCGTGCGGTCGTTCACTTTCATAGCCGGCAGTGGAAACACGGGAGCAAGTTAACCTCAATACCGCTGTTCTTTGACTGTCGCATGCTCGCAATTCTCGCTGGTCGAAGCCGCACATCTCGGCTAATTAACATGCCACCACAGAAGAGCGAACGGATCTTCTCGACGACGTGGCTGCGCACTGCCACTGGGCGGTTGCGACGACGTCGAGATGTCGCGGCGGCTGGGGCTTGAAGGCAAGGCTCCGGGTGCTGGCAGCCCCTGAGGAACGTCAAATATACACGTGGTAGTTACATGAAGCACGAGAACGCCGCGTCTGCACACCCCCAGCTTGCCGCTGCACTATCAGAGTTGGACAACCTGGTCGACGACCCCCCCACCGTGGCAGCGTCTGCATGCCCCGACGACGCCCCGCCAACAAAGCAGCGGCGCATGTCCACGATTGGCGGCGAGGCTGTCTCTGTGGAGCCGTCGATTGGCGTGCCCCAGTCGTCGCCAGCAGCTCGAAGGGTTGTCCTGGCGGCCTGCTCGACGGGACAGTCGCCGGCTGCGGCAGCGACCCGGGCTTCGCCTGTTTCGTCGCTGTCCATCGGCTTCGCAAAGAGTCCAGCAAGGGGACTTCGCCTGGTCGCTGACGGCATCGGGGCAACGCCCGCGCGGACATCGGCGATCTGTCGGGGCACAAGCAGTCTGGCCTGACGCCGGACACCGCGGAGGCCATGGCAAGGTTGTTCCGGAAGAGTCTCTTGGATTCCCAGTTGCTGGACGATTCCGCAAGGCCCACCTTTTCCGGAGATTTCCGCGGGACGCGCCTCAGGGTTCATCGACCGGCCAAGGATGCGACCGCGGGAAGATGAACGTCTCCTGGCAGCAGTTTCGCAGGAAGCTGTAAGAGAGGTGTACGCGCACGTCCGCGACGGCGCTTTGAGTCGCGACAATGGGGGGGGGGTTCTGCAGATATGAAGGAGATAGCTGCCAAGCACAAGCAAATGCACGAATTACGTGTGGACGTTGCGCAAACGCGACCAGCCCCAGGCGTCCGAGTGCGCCCTGTTGCCGCGCCAGCCCCGCCCCATCGGCCCAATGATTCTCGGCGCGGCGGAGGACGCGCAGAGCGTCTTGCCGCAGCGCCGCTCATTGAAAAGCAGCGCTCGGCGGCGGGCTTTCAAGCTTTCAAGCTTTCAAGCTGGCCAGGTAGATTCTCGGGCCGAGGCGGCGCGAGCTCGAGCTGGGCTGCAGGCGCGGGCGTGCCCGGAGTGGCTTCCACCCAGACACGCGCTTGCAGCGCCTCCTCGCACTGCTGTGCGACGACGACTGGCCGCGGCAGCTCCGCGGTCTGCCCGCGCAGCCTGGCGCGCGGTTCGCCAGAGCGGCCGCGCTGGGGGCAGCCGCGCCAGCGCCGCGGGACGGCCTCGCGGGCTTCGCCGGCCTCCCCACCCTGACGAGCACGCGCTACATCAACGGCGTACCACGCGCGCCCCTTCCGCAGCGGCATCGGCGACTTGCAGTCGGACGCCGGCAACGTGGAGGACCGCCTGAGGGAGTTGTTCTGCGCGCGCTGCGCATCGGCCTTCGCGGCTGCCGACATTCGCCCGCCGTCGGCGGCCCTCGCCCGTCAGATCTTGCAGCGGCCGCATGGCTTCCAGCATCGTCGACGGCAGGGCTCGGCAGAGTGCCTGGCGCCGCCGACGGAGGCGCGCGGCGCCGCGTCTGCGGGGACGGCGCGGCGACAAGCGTCGAGCACGCGGCGCGCGCCGAGGGGGCCCCGGCAGGTCGCGACGCGCCGCCTGCGCGCGCGTCCGCCATGATCCCGGCGTCCGCGGCGGGCGAACTAGCGATCCGCGAAGCCTCGGAGGCCGCGGTTGTCCGCGTGGAGAACGTGCGGATGCGATGGGAGCGCGTTCGCTGTGGGCGCGCGGGCGGACTGACGGGGCGCTGTCTGCCCCGTCAGCGGTCTATACGGTGACGCCGTTTCCAGCGAGGCGATGGCTTTCGCACAACTCCGCGCGGAGCCCGTCTCGCCTGTTCCGCAGCGGACGCGCGGCGGCCAATGCGTCGCCCACGTCGGCGAGGGCGGGCGCTGGTTTGGGCTCGACGACGACGTCGCGACGGAGCTCCTCGAGCCACTGGGGGCCTGCCCGTGCCTGGTCTTCCTCGCCCGCGCGCGGCCGATTCCGATCGGGGGGGGCCGCGCGACCCCCGCGGGCCTGGCGACGCTCTGGGGGCCGCGGCCAAACTGCCGCGACCGGGACCTGCGGCGTCGACATGCAGCGCTGCTGGCTCAGCATTTGGACCGGGCAGCGGCAGCCGCGGCTTGCCCGCTGGAGCCGGCGCAGCCGCCGATCAGGGCCGCGCTGGCAGGGGCCGGAGTGGCAAACGCCAGACAGGCAGAGACCAGACTGGCAAAGACTGTGCTGGCAGATACCTGCAGACTGGCAGAGACCATGACCGCGGCGACAGGGGCCGCAGCGGCCAGCGGGCGCGGTCAGCGCTGGAGTGCACCTAGATGCTATGGCCGTTTGGAGCGGCTCCGCTGCGGCGGTCACCAGGGGCCGCAACCGTGCTAATCCCGATAACAGCGCTGGCGACGCAGTCCAGCTGTGCGCGGATACTTGGGATCCGCGACGCACCGTCGCAGATGCGACGCGTCGCCCTTGGTCGGAGAGGGCCGAGCCGTCGGGCCCTCGCCCGCGCCAGCTCTACCAGGGCCGAGAGTCTGCGCTCCGCGAGGATCGGGGAACCGCGTCGACCGGGACCAACTGCAGTAGCTAGCCCTGGCCTTCGCCCCCCGCCCCCCCCCCCCCGCGAGCCGGGTGGGGCAGCGAAAGAAAGGGGATTGAGGGGGGGTGGGGGGGCAGGGGGGCCGGGGAGAGGTTGGGGAGAAGAGGAGTTCTGGGGCTTCAGTCGCCCCGCAGGAGCGCGGCAGCGCCTGGCGCTACCGCGGCGCGCTCATCTCATCGCTGTCGCTGAAGCCTAGCGCGGTCACAGGGAGGGGGGAGCGGCGCGCGATCGTGGCCAACTGCGCAGAGTTCTACGCCAGGTCCGCCATGGACAGGGGGTGGCCCGCCGGGCGCGCGCGCGAGCTCGCTCAGACACCCCGGGGCGCGCTCACCGACGAGAGCGCTGGGCGTTCCCAGCGCTCTACGGGCGCGCCCCCTGCGACGGGCTGCCCCGGTCCGAGGGCCTTTCCTGTTAGTGCCTGGCAGGCAGAGATTGCTTCGCGAAGAACTCTGAGGCCGTGGCCAGACCGCTCTTTTGGCGGGCCCACCGCAAGCACGGGCCGCGCCTCTGAGCGGCGGCGAATCGGGAACGCGGACGCGTTCCAGCTCGCCCCCACGCACGCGCAGCGGTGACAGATTCGCGGAAAGCGGGCAAGGACAGGCCCTGGCGCGCGAAAGTGGCAAGGGCGCGTTCTCTTTCCGCCACCCGCTCGCGTGCAAGTTTTCCATCGCAAGCCACCAGTGGCTCGGAAGGCAGGGCCCGCCCTTCCGCGACGCCCGCACGTCGCCCCAGGTGCTCCTCGCGCTCGCCCGCGCCGCGATCACCACGGTGGCGCTGCGCCCCGAGAGCGACGAAGATCGGCGCTGCGGCGACGGGCCCGCGCGGGACTTCCTCATCCACTGGACGCGCGCGCTTGGCTCCGCAATCCTGTTCGGGGACGCATCGTGCAAGGAGGCCGCGGGGGGCTTCCCTTCAGCTTTCTCCAAGGGCGCGTTCGCCGCGACTTTCATGGCGGCCAAGCAGGGCGCGGAGGGCAGGCGCCCGGCCCCCCCCGCGACGCAGGGCGGCAGCGGCGCCGCGAGGGCCTGGCTGGCGACGCCGCTTGGCAGCAGGACGACGCCCAGCGCGCAGTCCAGGACATCGCGCGTTTCAGAGTGAACCGCGCAGAGTTCGACGCGCGAGCGCAGGCACTTCGGGCCACGAACGTCGTCTACAAGGGCAAGACGTGCGACGAGGCGCTGGCGGCCCAGCGGCGCCGGGACCCGCTCGCGCCCCAGGCGCCTCCCGTGAGATCGGACAGCGTCGTGGCCGCGCCGTCGGACGCGTCGCCCGGCGACGTCGCGGCCGCGGGCCCAGCAGCGATGCGGCGGCCGGAGCGCGGGGCCTGGGCTGCCAGGACGTGCAGGCGTGCAAGGGTTCTCGCTATGTGAGCGCGTTCGGCGAGGAGGGCGCCCCGCGCGCGGTCGCCTCGGCGGGGCTACAGGGGCGACGATGCCGATCAAGCTGCGGGAGGAGCTGGGCGCGAGCGCCCAGTGGACAAGGAGAAACAACGCGCCGTCGACTGGGGCGGCGCGCGGCTGGGCGAGCTTGGCAGGGGGCGCGCCCTGCAGCTCTGCAACACCGCTCTGAAACGCGCCGTTCGATTTTCGCGCCCAGAGCGGGAGATGCAGCTGCGGCAGGATCACGCGCGCGCCTCGCTTGGCGAATCGCCGGGCCCCCCCCGCGGGCGGGGGCCGAGACGACCGTGGCCACCCTCGAGGTGCCGCGCTGCACTGCGCCATTGTTGCTCTTCGATTGGAGGGCGCGGACGCAGGCGCGCCCAGACATGTGCGTCGCCGTGGCGAAGCTGGCCACCTGGATCCCCAGCGAATAGGGGCATGCCCGCAGTTGCTCGCCCACGAGTGGATCGCGCGCCTGCGCGCACGAGAGCAGATGGGGCGCGCTCTCGGCGCCGACAAGGAAAAGCCGCACCGCGCGCGGTAGAACGACGGCGATCCCAAGGGCAACCGGCTCGCGGCGGACTGGGTGCCCCTGCGCATGTTCGCCGCGCAGCGTTGCCTGACGGAGCGCCACTGCACTCCTTCAGATAGGAGGCGCGAAGTGGGCCGAGGAAAAGCGAAGCACCTCGCGCCAGAAGCACTGGCGACGGCAGCCCGCGCCCACGCTGACGGCGGCGGCGCAGCGGCCTGGGCGGCCAACGGGAAGCATCCCAACGTCGTGCGGGACGCCATTCACATCGCGCAGATGGCAGTCGCCAGCGTCGTCGGCACCAGTAGACATCGGCGCCTCTGCCGCCGCGAGGGCGTCGCCTACATGGCGCTCTGTCCCATGATCTTCGCCGCTCCTAACATGGCCTACACGAAGCAGCCGCTGTTCATCAGGGTGGACAGGCAGGAAGTCCTACTCGACGACGGGAACATTCCGGGCGCGCGCAGATATGCGTCGCCCCCAAGTACCGAGACACGATGCGGCACGTCGTCCAGGGCCATGTCGGCCAGACGGCGTGCTTAGCGCTGATCATGCGGCTCTTCCTCATCCACGTCCTCGGCGCCCGCCAGAAGCGCGCGGGCTGTCGCCGGCGAGGCATTCCGCCCAGACAACGGCGTTCGTGGGACAGGTGTGCCGGCGGGCGCAGCGGCGTCGAGCGCCAGGGGCGCCTTTTGGGCCGCGCAAGCTTTCCGCGGCAAGATGGCGGCGCACGGTCGGGCATCGCTCCGTCCGCACATCCTGGCGTGGTCGTGCGCCCTCTCCACGTGCCAGCTTGCGCGCGCGCTGCGACGTCGTCTTGCTGCGCCCCGAGAGCGCCTGGGCAAGCGGGTGTGGACGTGCGCCATGGCCATGGAGAGCGCCTGCCAGAGCTCCGCGCAGGGTCTGCCGAGGCGTTTCGGGAATGTCGACTGCCGCGTAGAACTTCTACGGTTCTCCGCCATCGCGCGGGACCTGTCGCGCTTCGACGGGGACAGCGAGCTGGGCGCGCTCCGCGAGTAGAAGGAAGCGGGCGCGGAGCTGACTGAGGACCGGGAAACCTTCCTGGAGACTGTGGACCAGGAGCCCTGGCGCGGGCCCGACCTGCCGCTGCGGGTCGCCACAGGCCGCGAGTTGACGTTGGAGACGGCGCCGCCGCGGCCGTCCTCCTCTGGGATGGCCATCGACGCTTTCGCCGTCGGGAAATGCCCCGCGCGCTGGCGGAGCGGCCTCGTGTTTCAAGACACCTACCTGCGCGCTGGAACTAGCAGCCCGCGGGGCTGCCCCAACCGTCTGCTCGGGCGCGCCGACGGCCAGGGCAGCCTGGAGTCGGCCTGGCGACGCCCCCCGCGGACGAGGAGGCGCCGCCGACCCGCCCGCTACTACCTGAAGAAGAAAGCCATGAGGTCTGGGAGTGCCTCTCCTGGGCGCGCGGCGCGCAGGGCCGTTCGATGCACTTCCATCTCCAGTCGCCAGCGCACATCGCCAACAGCGCCGGCACCGCGGCCGGGCGCTTCAACCTGGGCGCAAAGGACCTCCGCCGGGCAAGCGACCTCGCGGCGCGTTTGGACTAGGGGGAAGTGCTTCCGCGCGTGGGATCGCAGTCCACATTGGGGCACATGGACACCTGCGAGCTAGGCGACGGCGGCGGCTACGTCCCACGCCCAACGCTGCTGGAGAAGCCTCTGGAGTGGACGGGCGACTGCTCGCCGCAGGGGGTGGCGGGACATTGCGCTGCAGCGCCGAGCGAGGGAGGGCGCGGATAGCGAGGGCGCGCCGGGCTTGGGCGCCGCGTTTGCCTTCGCGGATAAGCTGGAGAGGATGTCGAGGCCGCCTTTAGCGGCGGCTCGAACACTAGCTTCTACATTTGCTCATGCACGACGAAGCAGTGCCCCAGCATGGAGGGCGCCCTCGCGACGACGCGGCGCGGCCTGGAGCGGCCCCAGGCACGGCGGTCTGCGCAGCAGGAGAAGATGAAACTGGAGCTTCGGCAGCGCCAATGGGGGCCCCGAGAAGTCTCTGTCCGCCGCAGAGTCTGTCCGCGTCGCGCCGCCGATGCTATGGATGAACGCGGCAGAGATGCTGTTCCCGATCGCTTATGGCCACCTCGCCTACGCGCGCCCCCGCTGCTGGCCGAATGACGCCAAGACGGGCCTCTTCCTCGCGGCGGGGGCGCGACGACGCGAGCGCGGGCGCTCTCTCCGGCATCGGGCCAAGCAGCGCGGGGGCTGCGCCCCAGTTTAGTACCTCGGACGCGGCGTCGACCTGCGCGCGCTCGAGTGGCGGCGCCAGGGAAAGGGCGAGGGCGGGCAAGCGGCGCGCGCGAGCCAAACAGGCCAGCACTTCCCGGACACCCTGGCGGCCCACGAGCACGACGTCGCAACGAATGCGGCGCGCGCGATCATCGCCAGGCGGCGTCATTTCTGGCGAAGTTATTGCAGGGCGCGGGCTCCGAGGGCGAGGGGGCCCCGAAGGCGGAGGACGGCTTTCGTCGCGAGGGCCACGAGCACGCTGGGCGACCGGCCGACCGCGGCGACGACCTGGCCCTCAAGCGCATGAGTTCGCCGGCGCACGCCGCGCGGGTCTACCGCCGCGAGAAGCCCGACGGCCCGTGAAGAGACAAAGCCCGCGCGCAGCACTTGGACTTCGACTTCGAGCCGCACTGAGCGTGCTGTGCGCGACCCAAGAGCAGCGGCAGTCCCCCGAGCTCTGCGCGACCCCCTTCGAGGGCGTCGCCGCGCTGGCGATGAACAGGGACAGCGAGACCGCGCGCCTGCGCAAGCAGCTGCTCCCGAGGACTCTGGAGGCGGAGAACGCGGAGATGCCGGAAGACGATCGCGCGCTGCAGGCGTTCGCGCCTTTGATGGAAGCCCCCGACGCGCCCCGCGACAAGAATGTACGCGGACAAGAATAATAATGCACGCGGGCAGACGAGGATGCCTGCGCCGCAGGGACCCTCTTCCGCGGCCCTCGACCTGGGAGACGGTAGAGGCTTGGAAGATACGTCTCGCGCTGCGCCAGGAGCGGGCGCAGTGCGCTGGCGAGGAGGGCGACTCGCTAGACCCGCCCACCCCCCCGACTGAGAGAAGCCCCAGGCGACGGCGCGCCAGTGCGTCTCCATGATAGCCATGCAGGTGGCGCCAAATTTCGAGGGGATCGCCCTGGCGCGCGAGGAGAAGAAGCCCCGGTCTTGGCAGCGCCAGAGCGACGCGGCCGCTCAGAGCGCACATCTCGCGGCGACCACCGGTGGAGGCGCCTGTCAAGACGAGGGCGCCGAGGAGGGCGATGGCGCGGAGCGCGCGGGCGCGCCTCTCTCGGCGGTCTGGGTGCGCTTGCAGCCAGCGCCGGCGCGGGGCATCGACGGGGGGCAAGTCGTGGCGGACGCGCTGAATATCGCACACAGCGCTCCACGATGTTTCTCCTATAGGAGTTCCTCGCGCCTCCGCGCGCGTCCGAGGCTGCCCACGAGGGCGCCGGCGCGCCCCGGCCGACGGAGAACGCGACCGCTTGCGCGCCCCCGTCCAGGCTCGACTACACGTAAGAATGACCGGAGTGACCTTTGGCGCGGGCACAGGTGGGTCCCCAGATGGCTGAAAACGAAGCAGGAGCAACGGCTTGCGCTCCACGGTTTGGCCCCCACGTGGCCCCCAAAAAGCCGCGCACCCAAGGTCACTCTTACCCGGGTCACTCTTGCGCGTCGCCGACAGGCACCGACCTGGCGACCGCAGCGCGCGAGGAGAGACGCGCCCAGACGACCCTGCATGACGACCGCCTCTAGGGCAGTCGCGACGAGGGCGACGCGAGCGTCGACGACGGCGCGAACGAGGGCGCGGGCGGCCTGGGCGGCGCCTCGCCGCGGCCAGGCTCGACGGCCGCATGCGCTTCGCGCCCAGCGCGTGCACCGCCGCCCTTGTCGCCAGTTTGCCAGAGGACAAGACGCTCGCTCGGGGGCGCGCGCTGTTCGTCGCCAGCTGGGGGGGCGACGTGCAGAAGAAGCCCTCCAGCGAGATAAAATGCGACGCGCTTGCCCCTGCTGGGTCAGGGCGGCTCGGGGAAGACGCGCGCGGCGCAGTGGGTCGTCTTCCCAGTGGCAGAGTATTGGTGGCCATCTTTGGCGCGGGACACGGGCGCCATGCTGGTCGCGCACTTCTCGCCCGCGCAGGCGGAGAACGTCTTCGCGGTGGCGGTGGGCGCCAGAACGCTGCGCGACGCTTGTGATCTGCGAGTCCAGAAGTACATCCCCTCGAAGATGAGGCCGGGGGGCATGCAGAACACATTGCAGTTCAAGCAGGGGCACGCGCGCGTTCTGGCCGTCGGCGGGGCGAGCACGGTGGCGGACGCGCTGTGCAACGCACGGGGCATTCGTGCCTGCCGCGGACGCAGCGACGCGCGCGACGTGCATGAGTCCGCCTACAGAAGGCCGCACCACCACCATCAAACGCGCCCCCATCGCGTCGCGCCTCCGCGACGTCCTGTAGCTGAAGCCCACCAGCAGCACCGGCCTGCTGACGGACGTGAACGAGCCCCGGGACGACGGGTCGCCCGCGCACGCGGATCCTCCGACGGTGAAGATTCTGCGCGCCATCAGGGTCTCCTCTCAGATCCCTGATTCTGTTGAGCTGAGAGGCACGAAGCGCTACGAGCCCAGGGGGGCCCTAGTCGTTGTCTTGGGCTGCATGCGCGAGGGCAAGTGCTTCCCGCCAGAGGTCCTGTCTGCCTGCGAGAAGACGTTGCCTCGGACAAGCGCGGCGTCCTGGGCCCTCGGCACCAGCGCGAGAATTGTCGCCTCGGCTACGGCATGGGCATCTACTGGGAGACGCTGGCGAGGTGGATCAACGCGCGCGGCGCGCGTCACCCGGGCGCGCCTTCCTGTCCTCCTGCAGGCCGCGGACGAGTGCGGCGCGCTTAGCGGTGACCCTGAGGCGGGCCGGCGCCGGACGGACGTCCCGAGCCTGCACGTGAATGGGGACATCCGGCGTCTTGCAGGCACGCGTCGGCATGGGCGACTGTTTCACAGCCGCGCAGGAGGAGCTGGAGAAAAAGTTGGCGCTCGTACTCGGGCAGCGGGCCACCACCGTGGCCTTCGACGTCCACCGCGAAGACGAGCGGACGCACGAGGGGCACGCGCCGGGCCAGCTCTTTCGCCCCCGCTACATGCCGCAGTGAATCTGGCTGCATGCGCGCGGCATCAAGGATTCTCCGATCTACGAGGAGGTCGCCCAGCTGCTGCTACAGGGCGCCGAAGGCGCCGATGATTTCGGCGAGGCCGAGGCGCGGGCGAGGAAGTTGCTCGTGTTCAGGCCCAGCGAGCAGGAACTCACGCGGGAGAGCTCGGAGCCGCACGTCGCGCGCCGCTCGGGGCATGCCCTGGCGCACGCGTGGTCGCGCCGTGCCTCGCCCCCGCGCTGTCGCAGGGCCAGGCGCTGCGCATGCGCGTCAGCATCGTCGGCGCCAGGGGCGGGGACGCGGGCCGCATGGGCACGTCGGCCGAGCAGTGATGGCTGCACCTCAAGGCCATGCTCTCCAGCGCCACGCGCATGCAGAACCCGCTGGTCCTGCGGCCGCCGTCGCGAGAGTTTCTGGAACGCGGGCCGCTGGCGCTCCTGCGGTAAGCGTTCGAGGAGTTCGACAAGAGGGCTGCGAGCTCCAGGGCCGAGGCGAACTAGGCTTCGCGCTCCCTCCCGCATGGGCGCGGCCGCCACTAGCTCGAGACTTGAGACGTTGTCCCAAAGGCTTGCCCGCGCGCCCCAGCGGCTCGCGGGGTTGCTCCAACGGCCTTGCCCGCGGGGTTGCCCCAACGGCTTCGCGATCCCGCCATCGGAGAACGCGCGCATGCTGGCAGAGGCGGCGACGGCACCGAGGAAGTGGACGGGGGGGGAAAGGGCCAGGAGGGCGAAGAGGATGCAACACAGGGGGCTGGACGAGGGCCCCCGGTGGGGCGAAAAGAGAAAGGCGATGAACACACGGGAAGGGAGCCCCGCAATTCACAGGAATGACGATGATAACTGCTTTCAGATTCGCTTGGGAGGTTTTGATGCGGGGTCCTTCCGTCGGAGTAATTTGAAGCGAATGTGCGCGAAGATAAAATGAGAGCCACATGCTGAAGGCGAGTTGCCTTCCGTCCGTGAAGCCGTTACAAAGTCTAATCTCCAGGATCATGCATGGTGGGATGTCTGGGGCGAAACGCCCGGCCCGCCCTTTCGACCGGCCTCGGGGTGCGACGCGGGGGAATGTTTGTATAAGGAAGGGAATGGAGGAGAACGAGGAGGAGGTGGAGGAGGAAGAGGAGGAGGATGATGAGGAGGAGGAGGAATGCATTTTCGCTTGTCCTCGCCCGAAGGGCCCCCGAAGCTTCTAGCTGGCCGCCAGCGTGACCCAGGAAAACCTTAAAACCGACAACGCAAGGGCCCAAAACGGCCCTTGAGGCCCAAAGGAAGGCTATAAGACATGCCCAGGCGTCCGCCACGAAAATATATACACCGACGCCCTCCAACATATTGTTCCCTAGTGTCAGGCAAGGGTGATGGTGTACAGATGACCAGTGCTGCGAGCCAGCGACTG